AACTGTGTGTTCAAAACAGATGCTTTCTGTGTTTTAATGCTCATTTCTTACTTCAAGGAAGAGGGTGGGTCTACAGAGAGAGACAGAAAAAAAGGATCTGTTTTGAGGGAGATATTTAACTTTTCTTTTAGTACATTCAAATACAGTGCCGTACACAGCAGACATCAACAGTATTTTGATCGGGCTGGCACACCTACTGATTGAGCACCATGTTTCATCTGCACCATCTTCATCTTCAACCAACGTTCAGGTCTTCTTTTACAGATTCCTGTAAAAGCTGAAAATCATTATTAAATTACAATTAGTGTAGCATTTAGGGTTAAAAATGGAGACAACATTTTTAAATTATAGTGCAAAGAGGCAAATTAGAGGCATTTGGTGACCGGAAACGTTTTTAAATTCCAGTGCAAAGAGGCAAATTAGAGGCATTTGGTGGTCAGAAAAATAATATTCATATGTAATGCCATGGTTTAACCACTAAATGCCCATATGGCTGTCTAATAAAGTATTTAGCTCTACTCTAGTTGCTCAAGAGTTTTGCCGGTCATAATTGCAAACTTTTTTTTTTTTTAGGTTTCACATTTTAATGTATATTTAGACATTATCAAACGCTTGATTTTTATACGTTTCAATTTTTTTAATGTTAAATTTGAAAAGGTTAATTACATTCTGCAGTGTTATTTTGTGATATTCACATAAGCATACAACAAAAGTAAATATTACAAAAGGCAAGCAAGTTTAAAATAATATTTAAAAAACACAAGGCAACCAATTCATAGTTTTCAGTCACGTGACTGGCTTGAAGACCTGGTGGGCAAAACATCCATAGTGTAAACTGAATTTGGCCTTTACATATCACTGTCTTACTACATTACTACGTAATGCAAACCTCTGGTGGTTAACTGGTGGTCAGTGGAGGAAAGCCTTGTTTTGCCCTCCATGTGGGTGCTCCTGAAAGAGTGTTACGTCACGGGATAAATATGAATTGCATTCAGCGAAACTCTTTATTGTATTTCTTAAATCAACAGTCTTCATTGAAACCCATTCAACCTCCTACAGGGAGAGAATGATTGCAGAAAGACTAAAAACTTAAAAATATGACAGCTAGCATCTGGTTATGGTCGCTATGAAGGTGTTTCTCACGTTATCTAACTGCCATTATAGTATAACTGTCTATTATCTAATGATAAACATTAACTATAACATACTTTTTAAAATACCACTACTGGCCAGATTTCCAAGAGGTCACCTGATGTGTTTAAATGTCAAAAAATGATGTAATTCTTCAACAACCTGGCGAGTGTGCTTGAGAAGCACTGTCATGAATGGGGTTTAATGTTCGAAATATTGGCTGCTCCATGGCACGCGTTACTTCCACATTCCTTGGTTCCTATGGGAGTGTCGCAACTCTGTTTCTCAACTGCTCTGAGTAATACCAGGGCCGTTGAGAAACAGAGTTGCAACCCTCCCATACTTCCATAGGATCTGAGGAATGTGAAAGTAAAGCATGTCACGGAGCAGCCAATAGTTCCAAACAAACAATAGTTCCAGCATTAAAGCCCATTCATTACAGTGCTTCTCAAGCACACTCGCTGGCAAATTGAAGAAATTACTGCATTTTTTTTACATTTTAACGCATTAGTTGACCTCTCGAAAATCTGGCCAATAGTGGTATTTTATGAAGCATGTTATAGTTAATGTTTATCGTTAGATAATAGACAGTTATACTATAATGACAGTTAGATAACAATAATAATACGTTTTTAGTCTTTCTGCAATCGTTCTCTCCCTTTAGGAGGTTAAATGATTTTCAATGAAGACTATCCATTCAAGGAATACAATAAAGAGTTTCGCTGAATGCAGTTGGTTGCCTTGTGTTTTTTAAACATTATTTTAAACTTTTATTGGGTTAAATTCCGTGTTTGCTTTTTTAATATTCACTTATGTTGTATGCATATGTGAATATCATAAAATAACACTGGGATGTGAGTAATTAATCCTTTTAAATGCAACATTTCTAAAATAAAAATCTAAACTTATAATACCAAAGACTATAGAATACCCAAGACGTGTCACTCCTAAAGTTTTGAATGGGGAAAAATGCAACGCTCAATATGGCCAATCGAAGGAAGCCCTGCCTTCTGAATAAAATCACTAATCGGTAAAGTCATTGCCCCCATGTCAACAAGAGAAAGGTGTCTGTGTTCCTTCCCGGCTGTACTAAAGGGACTGAGAGCAGCGTTGCCAAGTCCGCGGTTTTCCCGCGGAATTGGGCTACTTTAACATTGTTGCCGTGGGTTGTTTTTAATGTCCACGGGTTGAAGCGACACCAATAACACGATATTTAGTCCCTGAGATGCTAATTTTTCCCAGGAGCCCTGCCAAAAAAAACATGTATTTTACCCCCCGAAACGCGATTTTTAATGGGGACCCCCCTCGAAACACGATTGGGCTAGTTTTGAGTCGCAATTGGGCGGGTTTTGTGGTGAAAACCTGGCAACCCTGACTGATGGTGCGTTCAAGTCATGTCGGATAGATCGTATTTACGAGTTGAACGCACATGAACGCCACCACAAAGTCGTTATTACGAGTGGGAAACTCAAGTTTCTTTAAGCCCAGAGTTTCCGAGTTTGGGGGCGTGTCAATGAGAAACATGGCGGAATCGATGGATGCAACGTCTGTAGTTGAAGACGGTAAATTTTTGTTTAAGTTGATAGTTTAGTTGTCCTATAAACTTAAATTGGTCATGTTCTTGTTGCGCAGCTAGTTAATGAAATCCAAGTTAAAAAAACGCTATCATTTTTGCACCTATAGGTGAAAAATCTTTTGATTTGCCATGTTGCATTTAGCTAACAGCTTTTTTAATCTCTGTATTTTAGCATTTGTTGATGCTGAAAATCAGTTATACTGGGATCCTGGTCTAAAAAAAAAATATTAAAAATGCAAAACACACCTGATGCGAATTCTTTGCTCTTCAT